CTTACAAAAATGGATTATGGTTTTACACTAATTTTGCAAAGCAAATCAGCGTTTGCCGCTTCAGATTAGCAACTTTCGAAAATTCCGGGTACAGCCGGAGGCGCCCTGGAAAACCTAAATTATGATGATTTTATCTCGGAAAACTTGATGAATTGGAAACCAAAAACAACTGGTAAAAAGAGGAGAAAAAGCTGCGTCGAATGACACCCGAGTTGCTTGCCAGTTGCTGTTCTGTGAGGTTTGACTTGACCACATATGGAATTTGATGGCATTTTAAAACCAGAAACTCTAAGAAACAAGCTAAGGAAAAGAAAAAAATTACTCTGTGTCCTATAGGGTTTGCTCTATCTACCTGCCACTTGTACTTCTTCGGAGAATAGTTACAAAAATTTTGAAAAATTGCCGAACTTGACCATGGCAAAAAGCATGAGTTGCAGAATTTGTTAATTTTTCGAAAGCTCAATGAAAATTATGCAATGAAATTACAACCATTAGAAAGAGGATGAAATGCTGCATCGAATGCTTCTAAGATCTCTTGAAAATGTTAATTCCATGAAATGTGGCGTTCATTTGAAAAAAGCGACATTACTTTCGGAACGACCTGATATATAATGACTCGACTGTACAAATTTTAGAATACATCTATCTAATAAATGGAGGAGTTATCAGCGAGTGGGAGGGGTTGTCAGCGAAGGAGTCGGTCACTAGGATAACTGGACATCAAAGGATTTGATGCCCAATTTAAAAATATTTGAGCACAGTTTTTTTTAAATCTCTAATATGTACCTCTATCTAGTAAATAAATAAGTTAAGATCTAATAAATATCTATAAGATACCCCTCTTTGATTGAATCTAAAAACCAAAGCTGGTTTTGTTTCTACCAGCCTTCGTACAAGCACCTTTAATCCCTCTATGTCTGAAATAAGTATTCCTCCCAGTCCTTATCGCCACAAAGAAAATATTAAGCAAACTATAAGATAGCTTTTTTCACACATTACAGCTACAAACTGCAATTTATTCTTTTTCAGAGGCGATGGCTTTATGATCATGTAAGTCCGTTGTTTCTCCTATTCATCAAACGACTTCAAACGCAAGCATTGTGCACCAGCTTGAAAAACCCAAACATTGCTAAAGGATAATAATCTTGAGAAAGGGAATAAAGTGTCCTTGATGTGTCAACCTAACACCCATCCCCTTGTTTTCAAAAGGTCTGTGAGCTGATACTTCGAGCCCAACAATGGACTTTCCTAACGCCTCAATCTCATTGGTCACTCATACGAAATGAAGATTGCAGCTGCTATTCTTCACTTTGATTGTGGAAATTGTTCGTGGCAGATGTCCTCTTTCCAAGATTTGCTATGGCTTAAAAAGAAAAAGAGCTCCTTGGATCGCAACAGAGATTGGGAGCGTGGATTTTGATGCTTTTCTAGATTTTTTTGACGACCTTTTCGTTCTTGGCATTCTCGTGTCAATTTTCTTATGTTCTTATGTTGGCTGTATTCTTGAAATATGAAGCCGCAAGCAAGGGTAAGAAAAATTACTCGCGAAGACATCACAATGTAGTATACTACAAAAAATGGTAATGGTGGTAAAAAAATGGCGGTGCGCACATCCATTTGAGAACATCGTTCATCGAACTCTGAAAATCCAAAACTCCATCCAAGGTCCGAATCAAAATTCCGGAAGCGCAACAATACCGAAGCGCGCAATAAAACGCTTCGATATTATTGAGTTTTCCATGCACATCAGGAATATGAACTCTAGAGGGTCGTCAGCATCGAAGTATGTTATGAAAGCTTTGCAGAATACATTGAAGCTTTCTGTAAAATGCTGCGTAAAGGCAGCGTCCTTTCAGAATTTTTCCTCCCATGTTTTTGCCATTCTGGGGCCTCTCCGTCGCCCTGATTACAGTTCTGAAGTCCAAAATGTCCAAAACCCCAAAAAACCCTGATTCCTAGGGACCGTGTCTGGAGGCTCCCAGTATGTAGGTGGGCTGAGTTTGATAGGACCTGGGCGGCGCTTGAAGCACTTTCGCTGTTCCAGGCCCATTATCTCCATTCAGAGTCAACATTAGAGGAACGGAACGCACATGGTCCTCTCCTGGGGCCCACATTCAGGATCAGCACTAATCAGAGGGGATTGGTTTTAGCCTGGGCAGTGCCTTTACGCGTTTTGCAGAAATGCTGGTTGATATTTGAAGGGAACATTTAGATTTCGGTTACATTGTATTACCTTGATTATCTTAAACTTTCTGGAAATTGTTCATTCCAAAAAACTCGGCTTCTTGAGCACATGTAGTGCGGGATGTACTGAAAATTATGAAAAGCGCATTTTATGGATCAAGCTTGACTATCCTGTATAATGTGATAATTATGACTGTCACGCTTTATTTCTTTGCTACTAATCTTTGATGTTTTCGGTACAGTCGTAAATTTTGAGAGATGGTTTTATAAAAATCCAAGCAGCTGATCAAAAAGACCTCAAGATTTATTGTAGCCTGAGGTTGGCTGTATCTATCTATCTATCTATCTAGTATTCTTTTTGGTCTGGTGTAAAAACATTAAAAATGTAACAACTCAGATAATTCACCGGAACTTCCGCAGAGCAAACAAAATTTGCAGCGGTTTTGCAGAATTTTGTTTTCTAGTGCAAAAGTAGAAGCGCTGAAAATGAGAACTTCCACAGGATTGTTTGAAAACAGGAACTTCCGCAGAACCTTTTACAAAGCGCCGCGAAAAAAGCCAGCGGTTCCGCAGCACTTCGACATGCCGGTACTTCCGCAGGGTCTTAAATGTGTTGTCTCTTGATGTTGCCTCGCCGACAACTGGAGTGACATTATCAAACATGTCAGCCTAGTACAGAGGATAGTAGGTGGATCTCACAGTCAATAAAGTGAGGTTCAAATCTCGCTTAGGTGTTCCCTTTTGCTATTGTAGCTCGCATTCTTCGGAAACTTCCGCAACATCTCATTCGGGAACTTCCGCAGGTGACCCGGCGGAACTTTCTCAAACGTTTTGCGGAGGTTTCGTTCATTTGTCTGAGAGTGAACAGGGGAAATGATGGATCATTCGAATGTTTTTGAATATTGCCTTTACAAAAAGAAGTTTTTTCTTGAGGTTTCCATGTTTGACTTCTTTTTGATCATCATTAGAAATCCAAACAGCAGATCAAAAAGACCTCAAAGCAGTTTCTTGTAGCCCGAAGTTGGCTATATTTGCATGCATTTGTGGATCTATAAACAATCATTCAAAATAAATTCAAAAAAGTTCCTTAATCGTTCAAAAAACAGGGAAAACTTTTTCGCAACTTGAATTCGCAATTTAAAATTGCGAAGTTTCACAACCTTCATACTATCTTGCAATGGTCTTGACTTGTAGGCAAGTTTCACAATTCTAGAAGTTCTTACTAATATGTGCTGAACTTTCTCCTTCAAAAACTTGTTCTACAGCGCAAACATAGTGACATAGTAAACAGAAAACACTTAAATGTTTATATAAACTAGACATGTTTTCTCAGAGAGAACTTAAAGTTATAGTCACATTCTCCCATAACCTGGCAAAGGTTCATTCGCTTTCATTGGTAATCTATCAAAGCTATCGTGTTCTCTGTTCTCAGCGCATCTTCCGAGCTTTCGTTTTTCATTATTGTCTCTCATGCCAGCTGATGAAACTGACATTGTTTTACGCAGTTTTTCGTGAACTTCCGTTAGTGTTTCGGCGCTTAGAGAGGTCATTTCGATCTACAACCTGTTTTCATTTTGTACAATGTCATCATGGTCTCGCGAGAACTTGCTTGCATGATTTCAGAAACGTTCTTGCCTTGCCGCGCGCGGTCACTTGCTCATTTTTTTAGTCAAAATAGTCTGTAATATTTATCTTAGCAAGGAAGATTATTGCAATTTTTGTCTTAGCAAGGAAGAGACGTTGCTGCTTCAAACAATAATTCCGAAGCGTTAAATTTGACCTCCATTCAACTTATATCCCTTGCTCTATCCTTTTGCTGAATAGATCTCGATAAATATAGGTGTAACTCGATTTTTTGAGACTTTTGAAAAACAAGTAGGAGGAGTGTTTGAAAAGAATAAACCATATTGTAACCATATTAATATGATATTACCCTGTGACCCTGAAAATAACCTATTCGTTTACACAACTCTGCGAGGAAAAGAAACAGATAAATTATACTACTTATAAGAATCCAAGCGCTACTAAAGAAAGAAGAAAACTGTTTTTTCCATTTTTTCCGAAGCTACGAGCATTTAAAGTAACCCGGGGAACACGCTTAGCTGCAAAACTCTCATATTTGCATAACCTTTTAAGTGTTTGTTCCCAAAATGTTTGTTACTTTTCAGACCAGCCTATCACTTTTTTGTTTGTCAGATTCTATTCTAATGGTTCTAATAAATCTTAATGTTTGGCGTACTATAATTTCTCGTGGGTTTTTAGCTGTTATGGTAGCAACTCATAATCGCACTGGTCTTTTTTACAGTAATATGAAGTGTGAGTCTATTTTTATGCAGTCTGCTGTTGATTTCTCAAATTTTCTTCACGGTTTGTCTTTTTTCGGCGCTCAAGTTGTCAAAAAAAAAAGAAGTATCTCAGCAAGCCTTTGTTACTGTAACTTCGTGAAACCCTACCAATTTCTATTCATATCAATTTTTGGCCTAGACTTCCAAAGAAAAAATGTTTTCATGCAAGAAATTCTTACTTGTGCGTTTACTAGTCTACGATGAAAACGTCATCTGTTTGTTCGGTGATGATTTCTGTCTGCGAGTGTTTCCGCGTTGTTTACTGTGTGCACGTTGGCACTATGCAATGAAAACTCGAGCGAATATAAAGTCTGTTCGTACTAAGATTTCGAGAGAGGAAAAAGTGTTCGCTTTTTTGTCGTACCCAAGTCGGCTTGTTTTTTTTTTGAAAACTGTGGAGAACTTTTAGCAAAATCTTCGACTTTTTTGCTCAAAGTAACCTTCTCGAGTTGATCTAAATGCCTTTTTCAGATGTTGCTTATCATATTCGCTATTTTACCGCTAGCTTTTGCCTTGGATTGTCATGAACCCAAAGAGTTTGGAGAAGATTGTGACCAACCATCACAACGGATGTTTTATTATGATACAAGATACAGTAAGGATTTTTTTGCTAATTAACATTGAGTGTTTCTCAGAGAAAAGGAATCTTCTGTACGCAATTTTGGCAGGGTTTGGTGAAATTTTGGATGAGATAAAAGTATTCTTATTTTATAAGTTGCCTTATCTTTGTCAATTTTTGGTTTCTTTGCTAAATCGTTTTTTGGAATTTCAGATGAGATAAAGGTATTTTTGTTTTGGAGGTTGCCGTAGAAACCTTTTGAGATATTGGTTTTCTTGCAAATTCAACTCCAAAAGAAAACTAACAGGCAAAGATTATCATGTGGAACCAAAGAAATTGAAGTCGTAGTAATTTTTTCCTCCAAAAATTCTTGAAACTGACAGGGTCTCCTATTGACAACAATTCCGCATTCTTGTAGTTTTGACAATATAGTGATCTTGCGGTGATGACAGCATTTGCGCGAAAAACAAGCTTGAAAGCACATGCGCGTGAAACCTCACAATAAAGCTTACGCGCAAATGTTGTCGGCAACGCAAAAACGCTATATTATCCGTCAAATCTACTGGACTAAAAGCGTTTAAGCATAATATTTTACAGCTTGTCATTACTTTCTCACTTTTTCATGTTTTTTGTCATATTTTTAGAAGTCTGCCAACCGTTCCAATATCGTGGATGTGGTGGGAACTCGAATCGTTTTGCTACGTCCACAGAATGCCGGGAAAAATGCGCGAATGGTGGTAAAGCTAATGCTACATCCGCTTTGGCAGGAAGTGATGCTGTATTCGTGCCAAGAGGAAATTCTCATGATCAGTGGATGAAAGGTAACGAAATTTCCAAAAAAAACTCTCGGCCTTGTAAAGAATTTCCGCACAACTATGTGTAGTGGAGTCACTTACAACTCAGTTTGTGAGATTGCACATGCGGCGCGAAAGCTCACGAGACTTCAGTATGTAGTAAAATCAGTTGAATGCTACTTTATATATCTTTTCTTAACAAGATTTCCTGATTACTTACCCTGCTTTTACCCAATAAAACGCAAAAGTGAGACGAATTAAAACATAACTAAAAGAAAGTTCCAAAGATTTTTCAAGTGTATGTCGTGGAATAGCGCACATTTTGTGCAGTACACACATTTGTTCACAAATCACTCGAATGTATCCAGTCGAAAATCTCTTATTCAGCTGAGAAATGCGGTTCGAATTTCCTTATTCCAAATGCAAAATATGTGCTACCAAGCCCAAATTGCCCATCAAATCATGATTTGACGAATGGAGTGTGTTGTCCGACAAGAGGTGAGTTTGGCATTTCTGGCGAATTTCCATAAGTACACAATTACCGTAATCTCCAGATTATGTCTGCTCCCAACGGGACGATTCTGGAACATTTGCCGAGGGTATAGAGGATAGGCCTCGGTAAGTACCCTAAATGAGAAAATCGACCCAGTCATCAATGTGAATCTCTTCCAGATTTGCTTGGAACCATGAAGTGAAATCCTGTGAACGCTTCAGCTATTTCGGCGCAAACGGCAACTATAACAATTTTCCTAGCTTCTACAGCTGTCTCAACTACTGCAAAGACTCTAAAAAAGTGAATTAGATAATTTGTAAATTAGGAAATGATAGTTTATTTATCAAACAGTTCAGTAGTACAATCTGTATTGCATTTGTTGTTCAGGTTGAGAATTTTATGAGGAATTATGAGAGCACAACTTCTGCGGGAAGTGGAATGATCGCTCACGTGTTGTTTTGTTCACTTTTTAGCTTTACGATGTTTTTTTGATTGTGGTTCGAGTAAATATTTGCCTGTACCATGCTGTAGGCTGCTTTAGGGTAAGAAGACTTTGAAAACATGTAGTCAGTATAGACCAGGTTGCAAGAGAGATAAGGACTTAGGAATCCCCAGCTTGAATGACAATTGTCATCCTATAAGGCCCGGGGCTCGTCCGAGTGTTTTTTCTTGAGCCGCGGATGTTTGGATAAAACTTTAAAACCCGCGGCCTTTCCCTCGCGATAACACTGAGCTGCGGAACGCCAAGCGAATAAACCTGGATGATCAATCCAAGAATTCGAGGTCCGCGCACGGTGTGAGGGGCCGCGGGTGCTCGCAATAATTGTCTGAGAAGTTGTGCCAGTCCACGTGCTGCGTAAACAATATTATTCTCCTGAAAGTGTATAAATACATTGCTACAGTGAAAAATTTTTGCATCAAGAGCCGCAAAAGTGTCCATTTCCAAAATTTGGCACTCCAGATTTAGATAAGCAAAGAGCATACTACTTCTAACAAACATTAAATTGTTTACAGCGACAGTATGATCATAACTAGCTTATCCACACCCCACTGAGATTCTTTTGAATTTCAAAAGAAAAAAGGACTCGGCGTTTTCTAAACCCGGGGAACATACACTCAATCCATTCTACAGGGTTGGAGGGAAGGGGAAGTCTTTGAACACGGTTTTTTAATCGTAATCAGAAAGCTAGGCAAGATGATTATATGAAAAACTCGAACAATGTTTACTCAGTTGTCTATTACATAAAGCTGAAAAGGAAATATAGAAAGGAAATAAAATAAATTATTGTAAGCATATAGAAAAACTGAAGATGCAATGACATCAAAACTTGTTCAAGGACTTTCCCGCAATTCTATACTTCATTCTCATAATAGAAGTTTTGTATGCTTGAGAGTTTTTACAATGATTTGCGGGCTTCATCAAGTCTGTGCTCTAGTTCCTACCAAATCAAAGGTACCAATGTAAAGCTCGGCAAGAAGTGGGCTTTGTTCAAACAAACCGAAACTTCACAAAAGGTTAATCAACAAGAAAACGAATAACTAGAAGCACATGCATAGAAATTTTTTCCTAATTTGCAGGAGTTAATTTCAGCATTCACGCCCAAGTAGCGTTGGGGTCATTACCCGCAAATGTGCAGCTTTTCACATCGCCCACATGCATGTATCAGGTTGGTGCAAAAATAATGGAGTTTTTCTAAGCTTTGTTTCAGGACAAGTTTCCGTCAAACTTCCTTCTTTGGAAAAAACTTAGCATATCACCAAAAGATCTTTTCATGCTCTGTCTTAAATCGAGCTACTAGACTTATTTTTTTAAAAATTTACAGAGCTTCATACAACCAAATTGAAATCCAGAATTTCACTGCATTTACATTTTTGATCAGAATACGAGCGCAGATGACAGTATTCTTTTGAGAAGGCAACTACTGTACGCAATAAATTTTCTACCTTTTACACACTTTATGATTCTCTCAGAAATCCAGATTGATATAGGGCGCCTCAACATGGGTAGCAGCAGTTTTGATTATTCTGTGGCCCAAAACTCCTTATAAAAAAGGCAATCGCCAAAACTTTGCTCATTTCTGTAAACGTAAAATGCTCCTGTTAACAGTATTTGCAGAACCTTCTAGCTGCTCAGTACGCAGAAAATCAAAAAAACCCCATAATTTGGGACTTTGAGGTCTACGAGAATTTTTTGAAAAAGGCTGCCAAAGATTTCAAATTATTCTTTTCGCCAATTCTCTTTGTTCAAGTCCTTTTCAACTTCTTTTGTATACTGACCAGCGGCAAGATAGGCTACCTGCCATGTAAAAAACTTTGAAACGAGTTATGATTTGTTGTAGATGAGTTCTCAGAGAAAGAACTTTTCTGTTCACGAATTTTGAATGGATTTTGAATTTTTTTCTGAAAAACGGTTTTTTTGCCCATTTGTGATATGAGTGTAGGTGATTTGTACTAAACACACAGTAACTTTAAACTCTGTACAGAGGCGCCGCTATTTTTCTTTCCAAGCATACCATAATAATGATCAACTAGCATATATTTTCGGTAATGTTGAACACAAAAAACATAATGCAAAAGATTTATTCGCTTGACAAACTTATAGAGGATACGCACAGAGCTTGGGATACCCTTGAGATACTCCATTCTCGCAAGTCAGTACGGGCTGGTAAACTTTTTCCCCCACCACATTTCCTCTGAATCAGTACGTTGCATTGCTATAAAACTGCATAATACTATGCTGAGGTCTATGCTTACTTCGGACTGTAACGGCACACTACGATGGTTTTGCCATCGCAGTCTCCTATCTCGCATCCGATTTTATACGTTTTTGCCCAAACCATCTAGAAAATAAAAGCGTAAGAGAAGCGAAGGGTTGTGCTGCGTTTACGTACCTGCGACCAATGGTACACAGTAGGTTTCTTATTGGCGAAGAATTGCGTGAAGTCTATATTTTGGTTGATGCCATTTTTTGTAATCTCTTCGAACCATGCGGTTCCTGCCTATAACATCATACATCTACATACACATTAATGCTATGGTTAAAAAACTGCTCCCTTGAGGGCGAGCTAGTGGAGAAGCCCTAACTGTGATGACTCCAAATACGTACAGCAGAGACTCACTATGTACATAGCTTGTGACGCTGATCCAATCTCTTGGTATTCCTTGTCAATCATGTATTAGGTTGTTGCAAAAATAATGTCCGTTTTGCAAAATTTCACTTTGATAGGCTATAACTTTGTCCAGTCTTCATTTTTTTAATGCAATCAAAACCGTATGAAACAGTAAACCTTTCTTAACCTGTTGCGCACCTGCATATACTGATATCACAAACGGGAAGAAAACCATGCGTCAAAAAACCGAAAGTTTTTCTTTTAAAAACCTCGTCTTCGTAAGACTACAACTCCCTTCGAGTTTTGTTCCTTTGGCTGCTAATTAGCTTATTTTGTAGACACAAGCCAGTAGTATACTTCTGCTTAGAAGAGACTTTAGTGAAGGAATCCGGCGAACAGAAAAAATAGAAATTCAAATTTGTTCACTTTTTCAAGCCTATTTGTGGAGGGCCAGAAAGTCCAAAAGTATGGAAATTTGAAATTCTTTATACACTGAGTAGCTAAGCTTTTCTGCTAAAATTGTGAGAAGGATGTCTTGACCTCAGGCATACAGAAATGAGCGAAGCTTCGGCGATTTCCCTACTTATGAGAAACTTTGGACCCATAGAATGCCACCAGCGAGTATCTATTTTGGAGCGTCGATTTCTCGGTTCAGATATTTTGAAAAAAATTTATTCAAATACGCTGTAGGTAAACAATGTCCAATCAATACAGTAGCTATGTTTTCAAAAGAACCCGTTCATTTGCGTCTGAATTGTGGCCAACGGAGTTAAAGAAAAGAATTTTCGATTTTGAGTGTAGCTGTTTGAGATGCTGGTGAAAGTCTCACAGATGAGATAGAAGCTTAGTTTCACAACTATTAGAAAGTACATGAAGAAAGCTTTCCAATGATATGTAGAATCTATATCGAAAAAGAAACTATGAAGGAAAAAAGTTGTTCGGAAAATAGGCCTAGAAAAACGGACATTATTTTTGCAACAACCTAAAAGTTTTCACCCTCATCCGTAAGTGATGTTTGGGAAGTTTCTGTCTGAGGGCATGCGGAGGCAATCTGGTGTGCACTGGTTTCCAAATCACAATCGTATTTCTAAAAAAGTTACTGTGCGAAAAAGATATCGAGAAGGTAGGGAGTTATAGAAACAACCATTTCCAGCATGTTCTTTGCATATCTTATGTTGAAGGTGTTAACACCATTTTTGTATCCAGCCTTAGCTGTGGACTCCCTGAATTGGAAAGCACGCTATCACTTTTATGCAGTCATCTGCAATGACTTCTCAGCTTTTCTTTATCTGCTGACCATACATGTTCTTATTACAGAGTACAACTGTCATAAGGTAACAACATCTCATGAGGTATGGGTACATTCAGACGTTAAAAAGAAACAGAATTGGTTTGGCTCTTCTAAGATGAAATATCTCAGCTAGTACTTACAAGGGAAGCTTGTTTCGTCGGAGCCTTTTTAAATGAGATGTATACCATATTGAAGGGCATAAAACGCTGACTCCAAATCTGCCTTTCTTATCTGCAGAGCATTTACGCACGAGAAGTTATGAGCGTTTTTTGAAGCCAAAAATTGAACGTGCATTTTGGATAAAATGAGTTGCTAAGATTTTACCAGCTCTCAAATGATGCAACCGACGAGAAATAAATATTCGAATATTATTAGAAATTCCAAATAAAAAATATACCAACGAGCGTGGTATATTTTTTATTTGGAAGTATTTTTTGAATAAAGTGCTTTGATGATTATCACTGCTCCATTAAAGATCTAGAAAAAGTATTACGGCTATTTTTGTCCTACTTGCATATTCAATTTTTGGCCCATATAAGCGCTCATAACTCCTCGTCCATAAACGCTCTGCAAATAAGGAAAGCAATTCTGGAATCAGCAATTTATGTCCTTTGATATGGATTACGTCACATGTAGAAGGACCACTTCGACTGAACATGCATTCCTTGTTGGTGTAATTATAAAATTGTCTCCGCTAACTGCACAACATCACCATAGTAGAGATCGTAGGCATTTCTCCTTGCAAGTGTATGGTCATAGAACAATTAGGGGGTACACACATCACAACACATTCAGGCAGTATCAAATACAAACCTTTTGAGGTGTGCTCTATCATTCATGATATTACATGGTTAATGTGTGCTTCTGTGTGAACTTCTGCATAGCACTCTAAGCTATAATCAGCAAGCAGAAACGATTATAACGTTATCGAATGAAGTTAGGCAGTTGAGGATAAATTTCAAGTTGACACATTGAGCTGCCTTAAGCACTAGCTTTTCAGTCAGAATTACCGAATCAATAGAATCAGTTTTTGTACAGGGCAATAAAGCTATGTAGCGAAAGCGCTGCAAAAGCGGAAAACTGATTGACGGCGATTTTCTTGAGTATCACTTTTGATACAAACTTACCTTTTCTGATTGTGGATTTCTAAGATGATGTCTCTGCCGGTAGAATCAATTAAGTAGTCATCGTGATTGTCGCACTCTGAAAGCAAGATGTGTTTTTATACCATGAAACTGAAACTTTGAGCAGAGATAATCAAATCTCTCCTCTCAATTACTGTACGAACGTGCTTGTTGTGAAGTCGCAAACATCGAGCACAACCATAACTAAACAAAATTTTTTAGTATATTTAATTTCTTCTTCCATGCTCATACTAGAATTCATCATGTGCATCTGAGCTTTTGTTATAACTGTGGTGTTGCGCTTGTGAACAACTGCAACCGCAATTTGAAAAACTTTCGTTCAGGATTGAGGCGACGAATATATTAAAAGATAAAGTTTTGAAGACGGTCGCTACAGTAAAATTTCAGAAGTTACCTAAATACACTGAAAAGTACTAGGTGTTCAAACTTCTGGATTTGATAAGCGAAGTCGCTCAGCTATAGATAATCGAGGTTCCATGGAATTTTGATGTATTTAATGTAGACTTCAAGGCATCACCTTCAAGGGAAGATGCAGAAGATGTAGGGTACTAATAGTTAATTTGATAGGGCACATTCGTTTAACATTCCGCACATCCTTTCGTAACAAACCAATTGACTGATTTAATCTCATGAAGAGTAGCATGGAATACGAAAAAAGTAAAGCAAGCGTTCTAAAGCATTCTCTCAAAAATTTTTCACCCTAACATTATTTCTAATATGTACTTAGAATGAAGAGGATCTGTTTTATAGCAAGACTAAATGCAACATACAGCTGTGATGATAAACTGTTCTCCAAGTGCTGCCATACTGCTATGTGGCTTCGTCTGCTTTCGCCCTTTTATAGGTGTTATGAAGCTTTCGCTGAACGAATTTGTGTGAAATTTTATTATTGAATGCCTATACAGTATGGAAAATGTGAGACATCGACTGTACTTTAAGATAAACAACTATTTTGTTGCTAATGAGCGTTTTAACATGGAAGAAATTCAATGGTGTGGCTTTCTATATAGCAATTTTATCATCCTGTACTATACAGTATGCGAAATGTGGGACATCGATCGTGTACTTCAAGACAAATACCTATTTTGTTGCTAATGAGGGTTTCAACACGGAAGGAATTCCATGGTGTGGCTTTCTATATAGCTTTGTCAATATAGTTTTCGTATAAAGCAAAACTGCAAACATCCCAGTTTCTCGGCGCAATGTGCATCCACTTTTAGCTTTCTGTTGATTGTGAAGGACCAACATAGGAAGTTTGACTGGAGCAGCGCTAACCTCTTGTGTTGACTACTAACAGGCAAAATATTTCCTAACGTAATTGAATACACCTCAATTCGAAGCAGCACATGTTGAACAAATAGAGATTTTAACAATGGGTGAGAACTAGTGGAAGTAACCTAAACTGGTAAAAGTCAACACTCAAAGAAAAGTATAAACGTGCTTTGCATCTGTACTCATCTACACTGCTTAAATGCTTTTCAAGTGTCGAAATTCTGAACAAGTGCAGCTTGTTTCTGCTAGAGCTTTCCCTGAGTTTTTTTTACAGTTTCAGACACCTTACGATCCCCAACGCAATTCCCATCCCACTTAGTTCATATGACTTCTGGATCAGCAAGCTCGTGGTTGCAAAAGACGTGATAACTTGTAGAGTTCACTTAATTTGTTCCAAAAATAAGAAAGTGAAGTAGTGGAACGAGGAATGTAAGGAGCAAAGGCACAAAATTTGCTGCAGAGGATTCCTATAAATACGTTGATGCTGCGGTAAAAAATGCTCTGTAACACCAATTATAAAGGTTAATAAGTAACGAATACTAGTCTACAGTTATTTCTTTTGAAAGGATTATCGAAATCAGCATATAACTATCTATAACTTTTGCTAATCTCTTTCTGCAACATAACTAGTTTGCCGTCAAATTTGGCCACGTTGCAGTACAGACCAATAAACGATTGTTTTCGTAAAAATTTATACTTTACGTGTCATAAACGCTGATCCTGCAAAATTTGCACTTACGAGTTGTTGCCGTTTATGGAACTGATCAAATGCGAAACATCGTATTCTTCGAAATCCACTTTGCTATTCCTATTTTCACTTCAATTACGGTTTGGTAGGAGAGTGATTGCTCAAGTGTTGTTTCGTTCACTTTTGGCTTGTTTTCTTCTAAGTTTTATTCAGAGAAAGATTCCAGAACATATAAATAAGGATTGGGTTTCCAATAAGCACAATTATTCATGCATCTTTTCAAAGGTTTTTTTCACGAAGGCCAATATGAACGTTAGTTGTGACAGTCCAAGCTTTACTTGCTTCGCCATAATCTCCTAATACCCCAGTTAGTCTACTACAGCAAAAATTGTGAAGAACGTTAGGAACTGCAAAATCCGATTTTCCACTCAGGTTGATCGAAGAGCACACAGGTTTGGAAAATTAACACGTTGAAGACTACGCAAACTTTTTATTGTCTACCTCTTGGGACCAAAACCTTTCACGGACCAGTCATCATTTTTCACATAAAATCACGCATAATGCCATCTACAATATACCTACAACTGCTGTGGAAGGCTGACAAAAAGATAGAGGTTACTTCTAGATTCACAACAAGAGAAAACTTTTGGAATGAGTTTATACTAGGGTCATCATTTTAAGGAAGTTCAGCCTTGGGTCCCACGTGGTAGTCATTGCTTGACGCATATGGTGTGTCAAGCGGTTGTCAATGTGTTAAATATGGCGCATTGATAGTCGCAGGCGTACCGTATGATCACAAGCAATTCGCTCATCTTGATATATCTTTTTCCTCAACAGTGAAATCCTAGTAAATTTTCAAAATCGAAACTTTGTAGATCTCGGTGACTCGCTTTACCAGGTCAGTACTTTAATTCCTCTCCTTTCAAGGCACTACTTTGAAGTCACAGCAAGCAGTGGGCTTTGTTTATGTAAATAAAGCTTCATAAATAATGCGAAAAAGAAATAAGGATGGAAGGACGTGCACAAAAACATTTCTTCTGTGATACGAGCCTTCTTCTATTTTCTTTCGCGCTCATGAATAGCGTTGAGGCCACCATCGCAAAACATAATGATTGAGTTGTTTACAACATTTTTTTTGTCCAAATGCATGTCAATTAAATTTTATGCCCCACCAGCATGTTATCACTGTATCTATGCTTGCACGAAGTTCAAATTGTTGAAATTGAAATTCAGTTCAAAGTTGAAAGTTGAAATTGTTGATTCAAGTTCAATTCAAGTTGAAACTTAATTCAATACTGCTTGCATGCTGAATCTGTCTCGAAAAAGAAAGTATTGATAGGGGAAAGTTGCTCTGAAAAGTGCTTGAGCTTCACACGGGATTAGCAACCTCTTTACTTGAGTGACGTTTTGTTATACACCCTTCCTCAGTTTCTAAAGCCGTGGGCATACCTCACGCGATTGCAGTCGCCACGCGACATGGCAGTTTGCCAGATTTCTTCAAATTCAATACTGGCAGAAACCAGATGCGCAGCATGTATAACTTTTGTAGATTGATAAAGGTCCCTATTCTTCCCAACATTCAGAAACTCCTTACGATGAGTTATTAATATTAGTATTGCCACAGCGCTTCGTGTCTGAAATTGTGTGAGATATGCCGAGGACCTAAATCAGCTGGTAATTGCGTGGAATGCTGATCCCGGTGTAAGGGAAAAAGGATAAGAAAACGCTCATTGGTATGTTTTCAATTTTTTTCTGCCTTAATGTATCAAGATTATGCATAGGTAAACGCTCCTCCTCTTCTCATTCTCACGAACATTGGGATCGTGGTGGATATGATCGCGGCTACGATCGCGGCTACGGTGGCGGATATGACCGTGGTTACGGTGGTGGCGGATATTACCGTGGTTATGGCGGTGGCGGATGGGGTGGACCTGGCGGATACTATGGTAATCAAGGATGGTGGTGGACTATTTCAACAGCCTTTGGGATTCGGTAGAATTTGAATTTTTTGCAAGTTTCCCTTATTTAACGATTTGTACTTCAGGTTGGGGACAGGGCCCGGCATGCGTTGGTTTGGAGGTTTTTTGGAAACGAAGTTCCCTATGACTTCGCGAAAATTTGCGAAGTCCCTCTCGACGTGAAAATCGGTAGGGAAACCCTTATTCAACCAAAATAACAACAAAAAAGCGAAAAAAGCGTATTTCGAGGTATGTAATATAACAAAAAAGCAAAAAGAAAATATTTCGAATCGATTAAAGGCTCTGCCATTGGGTATAGTACCATTTGATGCTCGGAATGTCGAAAATCTCCTAGGCCAATTAAATCTGTAGCCTCAACAATCCTGCGATGCATTTTTTGCCACATATTTCAAAGGACACCGCAAGTGATTAGAGCGCGATATTTATCAACGCGTAGAATTATGCTACTTTTGACTAAAAGATCCGCTCTCTTCACTATATGATAGATTTTTGACCGTTCCAATCGTCCAAATCAAAAAGGTCCAAAACTTATGTGAACTCTTCGATATTTATGCTCCCAACCAACCCAGTTGGTTTGGAGTTGGTCTAGAAACCAACAAATTCGATAACGGATATTAGGACACATAAGTTTTGGGAACTTTTTACATAACATAGTTTGGAGTGATATTGTATACACATAGCCCAAATTCGGAGCCATGTGATTTTGATTGCGCTGTAAACAAGCCATTTGTTTGTTTGAGTCTTGCATTTGAAATTCGCGCGCTTGCGAAAGAACACGTTCTACTCGTAAAGCTGACATGTTCGTCGTGTTTTTTTTTGGGCTTCCTTCAGAACCTCATAAAACGATGTCCCCGTTGCTTCTAACTCCAAAAACGAAGTCCATTTTGACCTTAAACCATCGGTGCCGGGCCCTGGTTGGGGAAAGTAAACATGACGTGCTGTCAGCTAATGTACATTTTTGTATAAAATTGACAAGTTCTGTATGAAACGATAAGTAAATATCTATTGCCTTTGTAAATGATACTGTTATAAATTACGCTATCTTTTGGTCTGAGGTGTCAAGCTTCTAAGATTTGAATGATTATGACCAACAAGCAATATACTTGAAGAATTCTACGGAGTGTCTGCAGAGTTGGCGCTTCGTCAAAGTCTTCAAAGTCTAACAAGAGAGAGTCAGAAAGTTGAGGAAACCGATCACCACAAAATACACACTGTCTGTGAGAGCTTGTTTTGTGGAAGAAGTTAGAGCATTTTTGAGGGGAAAGAATGCACTAATACGATAAAATTAATCAAAGCCTTCCTAGCCGTTAAATGGAAAAGTAGGAGGTAATAAGCTAGGCACAAGGAGTTTATTGCATGAAGCATCCTGGCACTTGCCGCTACGTTAACATGAGAAATCAGCGAGTGCGATGAAGTACTGAAGTCTTTCAACACAAAAAAAGGAACATACTGAACTATCCAAGATTTCTCTCCCTGTTTTCCATGCACATCAGGAATGTGAGCTCTAGAGGGTCGTCAGCATCGAAGTACGTTATGAAAGCTTTGCAGAATACATCGAAGCTTTCTTTAGAATGCTGCTCAAAGACAGCTCCTTCCAGGATTCGCCCCCCTCCCCATGTTTTTTCTATTCTGGGGCGTCTCCCTGCCCTTGATTGCATGAATTGAATCGAATTGTCAAAATTCCCAAAAACCCGATTCCTGGGACCCTGTCTGGAAAGCGCGGATGGCTTTCAGTACGTAGATGGGCGGAGTTTGATAGGATCTGGACGGGGCTTGATAGCACTTTTGGTGTTCCAGCATTATCTCCATTCAGAGACAAAATTAGAAAATGGAACGCAGATGGTCCTCTCCTGGGTCCTACATTCAAGATCAGCACTAATCGGAGGGGTAGATTTAGCCTGGACAATGCCTTACGCATTTT